GGTATTTCCTGCCAAATTCGATCCAATTGTCGAACGAGGTCATCAACATTCCGTGCCAGATGCAATCGCCCTCCCATCATATCCCAGACATGCTCGATGGGAGAGAGATCTGGTGATCTGGCAGGCCAAGGAAGAGTTTCACAAGCTTGCAACACGTGCCGTATGTGGTCTGACATTGCCCTGCTGAAAAACCAGCCCAAGGCGCTGCAAAAGGAACGGTAGCAAAATAGGTCTTAGGATGTCGTCGACGTACCGCTGTGCAGTAAGTGTACCTCTAATGACGACCAAAGGGGTCCGGCTGTCAAAGGAAATGGCACCCCAGACCACAATGTCTTGTTGAAAGCCGGTGTGGCGTGCAATAGTGAAGGCAGGATCTTCCCTCTGCTCTGTGTGTCTCCAAACACGTCTTTGATAATCGTCAGGACACAGTTGGAAGCGGGATTCGTCGCTAAAGACTATACGTCCCCAGTCGGCATCATTCCAGCTGATCGAGCGTCTTAGTGCGTTCTTGGTGCTTCGATTTTTTTTTTTTTTTTTGTTCTAGAGTGTATTTTAGGTTTTTTTCATTCTGCTGGGAAGAAAAAAAACTTAGACTTCTGTAAATATATCAGAAATAAATGTAGGGAGGGTGATCTGACTTTTATGTATCCTGAATGCAGAAAACAGATTGTTATTGCTAAGCACTGTCAATAATTGTAATTGTTTGGGAAAGAGGTTCTGCATTAGATTTTTCCATGAAAACGAAATTTGCTTTGTAACTTCGTTACTAAAAATAAATAAATATAAATACAATTTGAAAAAGGAAAAAAAAAAATTTCGTATACGAATAGCCGTTTGCATCATCTAACATATACTTGACCTTTAGGGTTTCTATTTCATGGTAACTTTGGCCTTTCTATTCTCTTTTTATGGCGTGGGCGGCAACCTACGCTTCAAACTATGACCACCCCCCATGTGGCTGGTGGAAGAAATTTAATATATCGAGCGAACTTTTAATAGCTTCACGACATGATGATACTATGTTGACATTTATAGTTTATTATTTTTCATTTTTGCCAGACAAAATCAATGTCACATTTAATAAATTTGATTGCTGCAGGGTATTTGAATATCACACATTTTGAGGCTAGTTGAAATTAACTTTTGCGAGTGAAAATATTTAACTCTTTCTTATGAGTTGATGAAACAAATGAAAAATGTCAAGTGATTTTATTCTAAACTGGAATTTAATATCATCCGAGTGGTCGTAATTTTTACGAAATAAAGCCCATAATGAAAATTTTATTCACTACCCTTAAGTTCCGTGAGAGGTCTTCAATCGAGGAACTAAATTCAAACTGTCTGAGGAGAGCAGACGAGGGTATAAAATTTTAATTAACTTTAACTGTCACCACCTCATTTTGGCGAAATTTGTTTGAAAACCAAGGATGTTTTTTTGAAATGTTTAATTTTTGTAGAACTCTATATTGATTCATACTGTAGGGATAAGTTTGATTAAAAAAAGAAAGAAAAAAGCTGAAAACGGAAATCCAAAGAATTTTATGTGCAAAAGTACTTTTAAAATAATTGAAAAAACACCTGAAATTTGAGCAGGAAAAAAGTATGTAGGAAGCATTTATCCACAGAATGGCATGAACGTTTTTATAAAAATATCGATGTGAGATTTTATTTATATATTTAAATTGCGTAAATATGAATCTCAATTCGTAATTTTCAAACCACGCGAATACGAATCTCAACATTTAATTTTAAAATCGCGTGAATACGAATCCCGATGTTTCATTTTTAGATCGAAATCACTTGAAAACAAATCATGATAGGGGCTTTTAAATAACGTTAATAAGAAATGCGATGTTCGATATAAAATTATGAAAATACGAAACACAATGCCTGATCTTAAATCGCGTCAATAGGAATCGCGATGTGTGATTTTAAATCTTGCGAATGTAATTTTAAATTGCGCGCTTGCATTGGTATGAAAAGGCGTAAAAATCTTTTTTCTTTTTCTGGAGGATTTGAAAAATACTAACTTTCTTTGAAGAGAGGCGGATTTTATCTTTTTTAGTAATAGTGATAAATTTTCAATGGTGAGTCGCGGTGGCTCAGGGGATAGAGCGTTCGTTTCCCATTGAGGTGAACTGGGTTCGAATCATGGCTGGTGGATTCGAATTCCGCATCCGGCTCGCACCGATCACAGTGCTAACGTAAAATATTTTCAGTGGTAGACGGATCATGGGTTAGAGTCCCCTGGCCGTAAGACTAACCGTGGGAGGTTTTCGCTGTTTTTCATATACATATAACGCAAATGCGGATTAGATCTATCAACAAGTCCTCCACGAAGGCAAAGTTTTTCCCAATGCTTGATCATGAAATTTCCTTGCCTTCTGAATTGGGTTCAAAATTATAAGGCTACTGCGTTTGTGGTATCAGCGGTTCGTGTGTATGGGTCTATTGAATAAACTCCAAAATTAAACTTATTAACATTTATTAAAAATTAGGAAACAAAACATAAACAAATGATCTTAAGCTGGACAACCTTGCTCGTTGCCGGTTAGAATATTAATTACTCCTTTTAGGAAGGAGGTAACTACCAAAAGCAATGCGATGGCAGCGCCATCTCTGATTTAAAACAAATAATCGTCAAAATGATAAATTCTGATATTACAGCGTTGAACATCGGTAGCCGTTAACTCAAAATTGTGGTGGCTGTTCAGCAACTGTTATAAAATAAAATAAAATAAAATTTTGAATGGTGATACATTTTCCGCGAACGCCGCTTGTGTCTATATTAAAGGTCTGTCGATACGTCCTAATCATATTTGGAAACCCTCTTT